GGCACTGTCACTTTTGGAGGAAAAGACAAATGAAGGATAATTGGCAAACGAAAATCAGGTTGGGAATTATGATCATTGAAGTTTTTTCACTAGTCAAAGGTCTGAATCACAATCTTGTAAGTATAAGTCAACTATTTGACAAATGTTACATAATCAATTTTGAAGAAGGTAAGTGTGTTGGCTTAAGCCAAGACAAGTCACAATCATTCACAGGTAAAAGGTATGGTAATATCTATTTGCTTAATGTAAATTTTGATGATGTTCAATGCCTAATGTCTATAAAAGATGAATGTGATCTCTGGCACAATAAATTAGGTCATGTCAATGCAAAGCAAATCTCTAAGATATCTTCAAAAGATCTTGTCCGTGATCAACCAAAGATCAACTTCAACAAGTGTGACTCTTGCAATGCGTGTACCTTGAGAAAGAAGGTCAGATCTTCATTCAAATCAATAAATACAATTACTACTAACAAATTTTTGCAGTTATTACACATGGATTTGTTTGGACTAACAAGGAGCATGAGCTAGGAGGAAGAAGATACTACTTGGTGATAGTGGATGACTACTCATGATTCACTTGGGTGATGTTCCTGTCCCACAAACACGAAGCATTTCGCTCATTTGAAAAAGTTTGCTTGAAAATTCCAGAACGAGAAAGGATACAACATCACATCAATCAAGACAAACCATGGAGGAGAGTTCGAAAATCAAAGTTCTGCTGAACATTGCAATGAAAATGGAATTAAACACAATTTCTCCACAACCTACACTCAACAAAATCGTGTTGCCGAAGATGAAATCGATCATTACAAGAGACGGCCATAATCATGATAATTGAAAGCAGTATTCCCATGTACTTCTGGGCAGAAGCTGTTGCTACTGCTTTCTACACATTGAACATAGTACTTTTAAGATCACTGATGGAAAATACACCTTACGAAATCTTCAAATGAAGAAAGCCCAACTTATCTTATTTCCATGTGTTTGGATGCAAATGTTTTATTCTCAAGAATTTAAACAACATTGGGAAATTTGATTCGAGGGCAAGTGAATGTATTTTTCTTGGATACTCAATTATCAATAAAGCTTATCGTGTGTTCCATAAAGATTCATAGGTAGTAGAAGAATCCATAAATGTGAAGTTCAAGGATGATAAAAAAGGAATACAAGCAAATGATTGCAAGGAAGTTATGCCCATATTTACACCATTAGCTACCAAACAGCAACAACAACAACCAAATGCTAATGTTTCTGAAAAGAAACCAATTCCTAAAGATTGGAGATACAAGATAGGGCATCCAAAATATCAAATCATTAAAAACATAGAGATGAACTATATATATAGGCGTAGCAAGGAATAGGCTCAAGAACAAAAAAAGAGTAAATTGGGATAATTCTTTGGTAGTCTGCGAGTCTGAACGAGGAGGGCAAAAATAACAGAAAAGGGGAGAAAAGATATCAAAGGGAAGCAAATTAGTCTGATCTGATTTCTAGACCCAGCAAAACTGACGCATTGTAGCCAGATCATGACTCACAAATTGACTTCCCTACTTCCTAACAATGCCACAAAAGTTCACCAATGACAGTGGCGCTTCTCTGTGGGTCTACGCCAAAAGTTAAACTTAGATGCTCTCACACTGAAACTCCTTTCTATAAACCGGGGTGTACAATGGAAAACAATACCATCAATCGATAAATGGTATTCGATAAAGTCAGAGGGTCATAAAGGTTTTCATGAAACGCGTCCGAGAGAACGAAAATTGGGTTTTCATGGGACAGTGTCCACATACACCGCAAGGTGTCCACTAGACACCCACACAACCTCAGGAAAGCTAGAAATAAATCACGTAATACAACTACTATTATCCCCAGAAGAAGCACCAAGAACACCTCTCTTGCTCAATTTCCAACGGATCTCGCCGAGGCAACCCAAGATCAAGCAGAACAAGTCACGGAGAGCTAAGGCGACCAGCGAAGAACCAGCGGTTGAGCGAATAAGAGCAGTACGATTAGGGGAAGAAACGGAGAGAGGTGTACCTGACTACGGCGGTGAGCGGCGCGGAGAGAGCCTGCGGTGGTCGATGGAAAGAAATAGAAAGAAGAGAATTTGAGAGGGGGAGGTTGAGCAAAGAAGACAGGCTCCGTTCGTTTGGCGGAAAATATTCTCCTTTTGGAAAATATTTTCCCGGAAGTCATTTTCCTGGAAAATGTTTTCCCGGAATATAATTTTCCGGTGTTCGGCGACCAATATGAAAAAGTTTCGGAAAATATTTTTCACCGGCGACCTGCGGCAGGCGGCGGTGGCGTCCGGCGACCGGCGGTGGCGGCAGCGGCGGCCGGCGACCGACGGCCAACGTCCGGCGTCCGGCGGCCGCGGTCGCCGGTCAACGTTCGGCGTCCGGCGGCGGTCGGCGACCGGCGGCGGTGGCCGCGGCGACCGGCGGCGGCCGGCGACCTTAGTGAAGAAGAAGAAGAAGAATTAACTCCGGAAAATGATTTCCGCTTTTGAAGAAGCGGAAGTCATTTTCCGTAGACTTAGGCTATTTTGTGAGGGGGGGAAGGAAAATATTTTCCCACGGAAAACGTTTTCCTCCCTCCGAACACCGGAAAACCCGGAAAATATTTTCCGGGAGAATATTTTCCGCCAAACGAACGGAGCCTTAGAAGAGAACAGAAAGAACCTCGCGGTGGTTTGACCCCTTTTTCTTTCTTTCTTTTTTTATTTTTTTTAAAATTTACATTTTGACCCCTAATTTTTTGAAAATTTATAAAATTGACCCCATGTGTGTCGGAATCGTGTGTCGGGATTCCGGACTTGCGTGTCGGAGGCGTGTCCGGCGTGTCGACCTATTTGATCGCATGTCGGACGCTTATCGGTGTCGGACACCGACACGTTGGCCATATCAACATGTCGGTGCTACATAGGGTAGGATAATGTAGCTTGTATTATGTATGGTGCTTTGCTAGTTGACTGAATGATATTGTATCAACTCTTAACCGTGAATGACCCATCCGTATTTCCTATCTAGATAAGTTGGTCCTTGCTCGAATTGGAGTAAAGAGGGATAGTTAAAAAATTTTGCACTATGCGATCTTCAAAGAGCCCTTCCAACTTTTGTACATTCCAGACCTTTGCTTCATGGTCAATAAGCTCCGTCACCATTTTGGGATCTTCCCTATTCACTAGGCCACCAATAACACTAGCTAAAAGCCACCTGTCCTCTCGAATATCGATACTATTCCCATCACCAACCACCCATTTTATATTCTAGCTAACTGCATCTCTTCCCAATATCAAGCTTTACCACCCCAAGACGGACAAGAACCTTTGCTAGCATTCCATAAATTAACTTTACGAAAGTAAATTTCTTTTAGGATCCGACTCCAAAATGTGGAAGGGGATTGTGCTAGTCTCTAGGACTACTTACCCAACATAGCCCTATTGAAATCAATGAGGTCTTTGAAGCCAAGTCCACCATTATCCTTCCTTGTTTTCAAGACTTCTGATCTCTTTCAATGAACTCCTGATTTAGAGGCATTTTGTTTCCACCAAAAGGAAGCAACTTTCCCTTCGATCGCTATCCAAATAGAAACAGGAATTTTAAATATAAACATGGCATATTGGGGAAGCGTCTGTACCACCATTTTGATCAATACCTCTTTGCTAGTTTTCATCAACACCTTTTCTTTTCATCCCTCTTACTTCATACTGACTCTCGTTAGGATCTAAGCAAACATTTGTTTCTTTGATTGATCCAGTTCAAAGGAATTCCTAAATATTTCCCCGTCTTTTCGATGATTGGAACTCTCAATTCATTCGCCATGTTACGTTTTAGATTCTGAGGACAACTATTGCTGAAGTAAATTGCTTGACCTAAAGCAAAACAATATTGATTCAACAAATTTGACATATTCTGACACTCTCTGATAGTACCATCCAAGAAGAAAATCACATCATCCTCAAATAACAGATGAGAAAGTATTGGGCAATGTCTATTCAATTTTATCCCCTTCAAACTAGCATCTACAATTGCTTGGCTCAATAAATAGGAAAGCAAGTTCACCATGATTATGAATAGGTATGGTGATAATGGATCTCCTTGCTTAATGCCTTAGGTTGGTTGGAAGTAAGGCAATGTTCCCCTAACCTTCACACTAAAGGAACCCATCTTTCGCATAATCCCATCCTCAACATACATGCACATAGAAAATCCCATTCCACCCGGTCATACGCCTTCTGCATATCCAATTTAGAAGTGCTTGGAATTTTCTTTTCCTTTTACGTATTCTCAGTTGATGTAAAATGTGACATTCTGAATTTCGATCCACTTTTGGGATAAATGAAATGTGTATATTCTTCAATGCATTTGTAGTTAAATATCGCCCGAAACTGATCATTCTCGGGATACTAACCTTTAGGGAATGGCTACCTAGGGAAATGTACGTGGACCTAAGAACTCGACCATGAGTCGACCTTCGGTGACGATCGAGGTCGCCATGACTTGAGTAACCATAGGTCGATACGCGTAAACCCTAAAAAGCCGCTCGTTAGTCAGAGATACATTAAAGTCGCATTTGAGTGAAATTGACCGTTATTTGAATCCGAACTTGAATGTTGAATTTCTCGAAGTGTCACGACTAATTTATTTGGGCGATGTCACATAAGCGTGGCCAACCTTAAGGTTTATTGGATTTGTCGGAAATTTGACGTGAAAAACGGAAGTGAGCCGAGCAAAGCCGTTGGGCCTCGCGCCCGAGAAAGGCCGGTCATCAAGGCCCGATAAGAATAAGTTGACCCATAATTTGGCACCCGGGCCGGGGACAATTGGTAATTTAGGGGACAAAATTTGGAGAAAATTACAAAGGAAAAGAGAAAAATTTGTGGAAGATATTTCTTATGGGGATAATCATTTTCCCCCTATCTTCTCTCTCTCCTCTCTCTCTCTTCCTCCTCCTTTCTCGCTGACTCCCCCTTCGGGTAACACCACCAACTCCCCACTAGCCCTCATGATGGACTTTCTTCTCTTCTCTTCTTCTTCTTCTTTTCCTTCTGCTTCTTGCGCTGACTTCCACTTTTGCTTCTGGCTTCTGTTTCTGCTCCCTTGGCTGGTTTTTGCTGCTACTTCTTTCGCTGGTTTCTGCTGCTGCTTCTTCTACTTCTGCTTCTGGCTTCTGCTTCTGTTCCCTTCGCTGGTTTCTGTTGCTGCTTCCTCCGCTGGTTTCTGCTGCTGCTACTTCCACTTTTGCTTCTAGTTTCTGCTGCTGCTTCTTCCACTGGCTTCTGCTCCGCTGCTGCTGTTCTAGACCTTGTGCTGCCCTTCTTGCTTGGTCTTGCTTGCTTAGGCTTTGAGTAAGTGGCATTCTAAATCTTGTCTAAGCTAAGGGGTTACCAATGGGCTTATTAGGGGTTGATTAGTGGATGTGGTTAGTTGGTTTAAGGGCTAGACAAGTTGATTTGCTTGTTGGTTGTGTTCCCGGATTTTATTACTGCTGTGTCGCTGAGTTTCACTATTTTTTCTGAGACCAGTGTGGGCCGAATCTGGGGTTTTGTCCTTCATTAAAGTTGTTAAAAACATCTTGAAGTATAACATATTTAATTTGGGAATTTTTGGAAATCATTTGAGGCCGTTCGGAAGTCCATCTTTGGACCGAAATTTGTCTGCTGGAAATACTGTTCCTCCGACCTTCGGGTATGTTCGAATTTTTATAAATTTTTTCAAACCTATTTTCAAAATACTTCCTTCACAAAACTTGTTGGGGACATTTGTGGCTATGACATATAAAAATTTCAAAGCTTTCTAAGGAGATTTGGTTACTGCTTGAAATGCATTTTGAAAGCCGGATGGCCAGTCCGAATGAAATACTTTATGTCCGACTTTGGATGACAAAAAGAGGTGGTTATAGATAGAACTGGGTTTTGTATTCTTCATGAAAAATGTTCATCAGGATGTTGTCTAGGACATATCCGAAATTCATAATTTTTGGAGTTGAATTACTATTTATTTTTAAAGGAATTCCAGAAATGTGCACTGGCCTAGATTTGCCCCGATTCTGTGCATTCGGTTTACTCTTTCTCTTGTGGCTGAGTTGTGGTGCTTGGTAGCTGAGTTGAATGTTGGGATGTGTGGATTTATGCCATTGAGTTTATAGCTTGAATTGTGGATTGAAAGGTGTTGGAATGATTGGGTGATATGGTTGAACTACATTGCTGCCCTTATGAATGGATTGGTTGGGCTGAGTTTTTGATTTGGAATTGAGCATGTTTGTATGTGATTAGGGCATGTGGATGTTGTGTGAAGGGAATGAGATATGTATCGTGTATGATCGATAGGCCCTGAGGCGTGTTGACGCGGGGAAAGGCATGAAATTGAATGAGGATGTACGTTTGATCCTATAATCCTTGAGGCGTGTTTACGAGAGGAATTGGATTTGTCTTGAGGCGTGTTACGCGAGACAATGCTTGGATAAATCGGAGTGCCGTAGACTTGATGCGTGTTACGCGAGTCGTACGGTGAGGTGGGCCTGAGGCGTGTTACGCGGGTCGGTATTGATCGGGGTGGACACATGTGTGTGTCGGAAGTTGAAAGATGTGAGCATGTGTAGAGATTGAGATTGGAATAGGTTGGAATGTTATTATGGATGCATGTGTAGGAAATTGGTTGTATCTTGGAGTGCATGTGCATTGAGAAGTTGATTATGTTGTCGTGATTCGACTAACGTGCAGGGTTGAATACATATGCCGAGGTAAGGCTAAGTGGCTTTAAACGTTATTGCGTGTGATTGAGTATGTTTGGTGTTTTTTCTTGTCTGGAGGTACGCGTTAGCCTAGATGGGGTTTAGGGTGCTTGCTTATTGAGACTCGTCTCATGGTTATTATATAACCATTTCAGACCCCCGACCTCGACCGTGAATGGTCCGTCACAGCGTTTTGGGATCCCGAGAAAGAGCCGATGGAGCAAGACCCCGAAGAGGAGCCCATGGAGTTGGTGGACCCTTTTTGTATAGCTAGGCTAGCCTACCCGACCACCGGTCCCTTTTTGATGATGGTAGTTTTAACGCTAGTGGCCTTTTGTATGTAAGGTTGGATTTTGTAAGTACGTGCCGTTGAATGAAGTACGTTGTTGAATGTTCAAGTGTTTTCTCTATTACCCTTGGTCTTTAATCTTGTCTGGGTGTTTTTAATCGTTTCCGCTTGCGCTTTATGTTTTGATGTTCGTGTGAGTCGGCGACGAGTCCTGGGACATCGCATTTGAAATACGACCACGGAGGGATGTCGCGGGCTCGGTGGGGTCCGGGGTGTGACATAAAACCTCATGAACTATAAAGATATTATCCTGTATTTGCCTGCCACTCACAAAGGCACTTTGCTCCATGGTAAATTAGGTCAGGAAGCCAAGGTTTTAGGCAATTTGCCATAACCTTAGAAATAATCTTGTAGCTGAAGTTATAAAGACTTATAGACCTAAACTGAGAAATACACTCTAGGTTTGAAACTTTAGAAATGAGAGTAATATGAGTTCTATTGAGAGAAGGATCAAGAGTACCTGAGACAAAGAAGTTGGTGACCGTTTGAAACACATCCTATTGAATAAACTCCTAGTAATGGTGATAGAATTGTCCATTAAGTCCATCCGGCCCTGGTACCTTCACCGCTCCCATTTGGAAGACTACCTCACTTACTTCCTCTAATGTAACTGGAGCCATTAAAGAGCCATTCATCTTAATCCCCACTAAAGAAGACCTCGGGGATTGGCTGAAAATTTCTAGGGCCCACAGTGTCGTAAAGTGATTGATAGAATTCATTTATATGCCTCTTTATCTTCACCAGATCTCGGCACCAAGTTTGCTCATCAATTTTCAGTATAGAAATTCTATTTTTTTGTCTTCTCTGAATGGTAGTTGCATGGAAGAACTTTGTATTCTTGTCTCCCCACTTAAGCCAACTGATGCACGATCTCATGCCCCAATACAATTCTTCTTGCCTTCACAATTTTTCAATACGTTCAATGGTTTGTTGAGTGATTGCCTTACTTGAAACAATCTCTGTACTATTGGTAAGTTCAGTGAGTCTCCCTCGCAACATCTCAATTTGTTTAGAAGCATTAGAGAACTTCTTTCGACTCCATTTCGCCGAGGACTGTGAAGGCCTCTTTGATTTACTCATAATATCCTCTCGGGGGTTGCTCTGTATGTTCCATGCTTTCCTCACTACAATCAGGTTCCTCACTGTCTCACTACAATCAGGTTCCTCTAACTAGAAAGCTTCAAACTTAAATTCTTCCTTCCTTGTAGTCCAAGATGAGTACACCAAAAGCAATAATGGACTGTGGTTGGAGCCAATTGCTGGCAATGCATAGACTTTTGCAGTAAGAAATAACACTCTCCAATCTAGATTACATAGCACACTATCTAGCCATTTTTCAACCAAAGCGTCACCCTCTTTGACGTTGGTCGAAGTAAATGCACAACCCTTGCTTTCAATATTTATAAGTAAGCAATCGTACAAGAGGTCGCAAAAGGCAATTAACCTATAATGATCCACTATTCTTCTCCCTACCTTCTCCTAATTGTATAGAACTTCATTAAAGTCTCCAATACAAAGCCAAGGCAGATGATTGATAGAGGAAATGATGCGTAATTGCTGCCACGGGAGAAGCCTCTCCTGATAATTGGTAAGAGTATGCAAAAAAGTAATTCTCATCATTCTACCACTGTCCTGATCTTTGCAAGTTACATCAATGAATATCTTCGAGCTATTCTCTACTTCCATAGCCACCTCCTCGTTCCACATAATTACTAGTCCTCCAGCAATACCAACTGGGTTTATTAAAGCTGAATTCTGAAAATGAAGCCGTCTCCTGGTTCTTTCCACAATAGGTTTTTGATTTTTCGTTTCCATTAGAAAAATTAAACTGGGCTTTCCAATAACCACTAAGGCTCGAAGATGCTGGAATGTTAGAGGAGTACCCAAACATCGAGAATTCTAGCTCAAAATCTTCATATATACTCTGATGGCTTATTAAGGCTATCCACCAAAGCCCACTCATTCACACCATTCACAAGTTGAACGGGGGTTTACAATGACTGCTTCTCATCAAAGGACTAAGATAGCATGGCTTGCTGTCCATACGAATTAAAACGCTTTTGCTTCTTTGATGCTGGCTCCTTTTGGTTCTTTTTCCCTTTCTCAGAAGTCCCAGCTGAATTAGGGTCACTGGAGGACTCAATCAGCACAAGTTGAGTGTCCTGTGCATCCATATCATCAAGAGCCCTAATCTTGGAAGATTGGACTTCTTTTGGTTGGAAATCAACTAGAAGCAAAGCAGTCTCTTTCCTCTTCTCTCTCTGCTGTCTAGGTTTAGATTGGGGCTGATGGAATGGCGTTTAAGGCAACATTTCTTCCACCTCAGTGGTAGGCATCTCATTACCATAGAATAACTTCCAATACGAGGGCAGAAGGATACTAGAAGTGCAAAAAGTTGTGTACGGCGCTTACTTTAGTGCCAAAAGTTTTAGTCGGATCACTTAAGTGCCTAATTAAAGAAAAAACGATCACTTAATTGTCGACGGTGAAAAATTCCGGCCAAAAATAATACGTGGCTTTTATGGTATATTATTTAAAAAATCCAATCCACGTGGCATTTTGCACGTGGCATTTTTGGCACTTAAATGATCACTTTTTAACAATGACTGGCACTAAAGTGATATTTTTTTAACAACGATTGACACTGAAGTGGTCACTTTAAAGAAAAATTGGCACTCAAATAATCACTATTTATAACTTTTAGACGACGTTGTTTAAGTTTTATATGTTGACTAGGCAAGCCGACGAGCCACATAAGACTGAGAAATTAATAAAATATGGCCACGTCGAATTTTCGATTACCCAGATCGAATTTTCGATTACCCAGATCGGAGTTGGCACATAAGACTGAGAAATTAATAAAATATCTCCTTAATAAAGTGACTGTTTTTTTTTAAAGTGGCACTTAAGTGATTCGAAAAAACTTTTGGGAGCTGCGTATACAACTTTTGGCACTTCTAGTGTCCTTCTTCCCAATACGAGCTATACTCGCGCACCTCAGCCTTAGGCCATAGACCAAACTTGCCTGGAATGTTATCTTTAAACCCCGATTCCTCATATGACACTTTCTTGCAATAAGTGGTATAATGGCCGATTCTCCCGCATGAGTAACAATAGTGTGGGAGTCTTTCGTATTTAAAATCAACCCAGAGTTTTTTTCTAACTAAGGTTAATAATAGTCCCAGGCTTGAGGGGGTTAGATAGATCCAGGTGGATTCTTGCTTTCCCAAGTTGGTAATGGTTGTTACCTCTCGATTCCAATTTAATCTCCAGCACT